AGCAAAACGGAAGGGCAATCATCAGGTCTGACAGTACACACAGGCAGTTTGCCTCCCTGAGATGCACGACAATTACGAATATTGCTCCGAATTTAACGCCGGTTGCGCACTCCCTGACTCGTTTAAATAAATTAAAAGAAAATTTATTTAAACAAATTAACGTTTGCCAGCTTTAACTGCAAACCTGTGCTTAGATCCTGCTGAAAACGTCTTGAACAGAACATCTACTAATTCAAGTAATCAAAATTGTCTGTCATATGATGCGCAAAGGCGATTCGGTCAAAATGACGGATCTGCATTAAACAAAGAATTTTCTCCTGTCTTTCAACCTGTTACCCATAAAACCAAAAAAAAAAAACTATTCGCTTCTGACATCACTTCGGCCTACACACATCACAATCGTTACGCCAGAGTGCGTAGGCTACGAAGGCTTGCAGGCACCCACTACGAGCGAGTTGTTTAGATTCGGAACGATAGTTTAATCAATTCTTAAAGGTCTGTTCCTTGCGAAAGTGGTCAGGTAGTTTGTAAATCGACGAACGAGGATAACGCACTTTACCGAAGCATCCGATGTCATGCTGCAGATGATACACGCGGTAGACTGTCACACGGTTCACACACGGTCGTACATGCTCAAAAGCTTAAGTATCATTTCAACGGTTAGACATCACAAATTTGGTTTAAACTGCCTTTTAGGCTCCAGCAGCCCCAGATTACTAGGACAAAACAACAACATTTTATAAAAGCGGACAAAGTCACTGCTTTGCACTACGGTGTCGTCTGACGAATATGTTTCATTATATCCAATCATGTGTCAAACGTAAAGGTGTGGCCTCAACCTCTATTGAGTCAGTTCGAAACGTTGTAAGAATCTCCATGCGCATCAGTAAGTTTTCAAAACTACGGTAAGATCGGTTAATCGAATCGTCGAGCTTGTGTGACTTTGTGACGGCGCTTTCGTGGTACACGCGACTGTAAGGTAGTCTTTAAGGCAGCTGTGTACTGATTTGCAAATTGAGAAGTCTTCTGAATTATCATCTAAAAGTATCCCTCGACATGCCAGTCGAAAGGTGATCACACTCAGACAAATTCTGACGGGCTTAGAGGTAAAGTGCGCAGCAGAAACGTGAAAACAGTGAAAAACAACGGTTACCGAAAACTTCGTAGAAGAAGTACAGCAGCAACAGGAAAGCGATCGTAAAGACCAAGAAAATGAACAAGATCAAGTATGAAAATGACACCGACTCCGGTTCGACGTCGTTTTCGATTTCGCCCTCAGTTCGACCAGTTTCGTGCCGTTTTTTAGCTTCCTCGATACGGGCCAATCGGCTAAAAAATAAACTAGTATCATAAATGAGTCCACAGTAAATCTGCCACGGATGCAAGTGCAAAGCAACACACGGAGCAAGTGCGTTAGACAGAACATTAGCACAGACAACACTTCACAGATCCTGACGACACAACGGATAAACCGATTCGTTTGTTGTTCATGTCATTACTTTGAACGATTTGCATTAGCAGACCGTGGTCTGGTCTGTGATATCCTCTGTATCGACTGCTTTTTAAAACTTCTGTCACCAAGCGCCGGTTACTGCATCGTAGAAAGAACAGTTGCTCTCCAAAAACAGATCTGCTTCTAACTTTTTCCATGATGTACGCTGACCTGCAGGTTGACGATTGCCATGTTTCGGTCCCCCCCCCGAGAAAATCAAGGGCAGGATGCTCAACGGCAACCGCAGTAACTGCAGAATCGCGAAACTTGATCATGTGGTGGCGACCAACAAACGTCCCTTGCCACAATACCCTCACAGCAGCTGCAGATATTCTAGATTCGAATTTCGGCGTGACTGCGTGACAGCAGTGTATGTAGAAGAAACGCTTCTTGCTGAGTACGGGAAAAGACAGTCACTCGTGATAAGTGTGAGAATCGGGGTGCCAATAAACTGCATCGTTGGCATTTTAACTGCCCTAGGGTAAAGGCGACTTGCACCTGCAAGCTGACTGGCGCTATTAAGCAGGAAACCCCCGCAACTGCCAGGATGCACTATGCGTTGGTGCAACGGTCGACATACTTCCTGATTAAGTGAAAGATATTTCTTCTTCGTGTCGCGTAACAAACAGGTGCAAAAGTTTAGGCCACAGCCGAACAGCTGATGAAAACACGTGAAGTGTTTGCATAACACATTCATACTATCAAGTATCCGGCAAACTATCTGAATAATACTCAGGGTATAGGGTCATTGGTTTACTTACACTGAGGGTCACTCATCTTTCTTCTTTCCGAGGCTGATATGTGAGAACTTCTCCATGAGAA